TCGGCGCTCACTCTTGCTTGCTCGCCTTGGTTGGCGATGCGACGAACCATGACAGGGAGTGCCCTGTCAGCCAAACCTCCGTTACTGAGGTTATAAAAGCCTTGTCCCATGCCGTAAGGTGGGCATTGTCCTTGTTCCCTGCTCCATCGTTTCAGATCCACAGCCCAACAGGGTGTCAGGCCCTGAAAGTTCCGTCGGGGATTTGCTGCTCCCCGGGGAGGATTGTAGACCTCCGATTCCGAGTCAGTGCTCCCATCATCTTCTTCCTTTTCTGAATCCTCTTCTGGGTCTTCCTCGGGATCCTCTTCGGAATCCTCTTCTGGCTCTTCCTCGGGAATCTCCTTGGGATCCTCTTCTGGATCCTCCTCGACCTAGCCTCCATTGCCCTGGTTAGGGTAGTAGGGATCACCGGGGATATGAAATCCTGCCATTTCGTCTGATCGAGAGATAAGAGAATTATATCTAAAACTTGAGAGTAAAAAGGTAATTTTTGATATGCATAATTCTATTTATTTGACGATTTCTAGTTCTAACTAAATATCGAGGTTCGCACGATTATTACAGTTCTTATAGTACTATAAAATACTCCTATAGTATTTCAAATTTGTAAGTTCTATTCTAGTGTTTTCTTTGGTAAGTTTTTGACTTGTTGCTTACTACGACTATTTCTCGACATACGTTGGTCACATCTTGGATAAATATAGTTGATCAGGCTATATTCATCCTCGATCTGATTACATATTCCGAGGCCTAATCGTAGTGTGCAACTTGTCTTAATACTTTCATAAAAATAGCATTTTAATTTGTTAAAAGTATAGTTTGTGTGAAAACGTTTTGTCAGAGGGTCTTTAGTCCCTTTGCATTTATAGTTTGTATATCTTATGTGGTTCGATATACTTAGTTCACTATAAACAATGCTCTGATACCAATCTGTCACACCCCCAAACCAGAATGGCGGAAACATTCGGGGGCGGATGACTTCATGTAGTATCATAACAGTTGAATATTTGTAAAGAAAGTAAACACAACCATCATAAATATAATTAAAAAGCTACATTGTTGAATACAATACATGTCTCATAAATTACAATATGATGATTTAATAAGTTTTGAAACTGACGGCTTAGCGTCCCTTCTGCAAAAGCTGATGTTTACATATATTACTGAATCCCTGAGAAATACAAGTAGTTTTGAAAAAGTGTCAACAATTAAGTTGGTGAGTTCATAAGCATTTTTGTATTAGAATTGTATGCCTTTCTGTATAAAATAATTGTGCTTGTTTCTAGAAAATCCAATATTTTCCATAAATGTGAGGTAGTTTGAGAAGTTCCAAAGACTGAAATGCATGAGTAATTTCCGTACTGAAAGTAGTATAAGTAAATTTATATATGTATATATAATCACTAAGGCGTTTGATAGCCCCGTAAATCAAAATGTTTTAATACTCCATGTGAGTTTTTATAACCATGTTATTGACCCAGACTGCCTGTAACAACGTTCTTCAGGCGTTGGAGTGTTATGACGTTTGTCACCCCAGATCTGCCGGTCTAACTGTAGCTAACAGTTTAGGTGCGGGATTGTCAATCTCGTATAGATCTATACACAAGTATCACGCTCTCCCTACAAGAGATTATGGTTTATAATACATGACTTGAAGTGCGTACTTGAAAGTACGGTGAAGTCAAATGTCTCACAAAATTTAATATTAATAGATTTATGAAATGAAAAGTCCATCTTTCTTGTAAATGTAAGTATTTCCTCTTTACAGTGTTTATAGTATATAACATGTCATGAATAACAAGTAAACCATACTTATTATAGTTTTTCGAAAATGTGTTCCATTAGAATGTTAGAACTTGGTGTATTACTAACTTTTGCACGTAAAGTGTAACATTAGTAGTAATATTGTTCAACATTTATAAACAAAAATGTAGATGAAGCATTTGAAAACATATGTAACGATTTGTATTTTAACATAAGTTTATCATGTGTTTTACTTGTATTCCCCCCCCCCCCCTAAAACATGGAAAAGACGTGAAAATGTAAGGGTATGAACTCACCTAGAAAGTGTGATGATTTGATGAAAACGAGACTTTACTTGGGCAACACTTCGACCGGAAAGTGGTAAATTTATCGGGAGTTTCAGAGTTTCGGGCCTTCGTCGGAGCTTGGATATGTAACCGGGGTGTCGGGGTAGTCTCGGGGTGCTTAACGCAGAGTAAAAGTGGGAGAGAGGATAGAAATGAGCAACTAAAACCGAAACCCTCGGTTTCTATTTATAGGGTGCAATTTCAGGACTCACGTCGTGAGCATGGGATGGCTCACGTCGTGAGCTTGGTTCTTATCTCTTCCGTAGACGCGACGCCTAGTAGCCTGACTCTGGCACACATCAGCCACAGGCTCACGTCGTGAGTTTCTGGCTCACGTCGTGAGTCTTCTGACAGTGTCGGTTTTCGTGCCCCGAACTTCAAAAATTCATATCTCTCGCATACGAGCTCCGATTTCGACGTTATTTATATCCACGCATAGGTGAGATTATGTTCTACAACTTTCATTTAGACTCCGTCAGCTAATTCTGACTTATATTTTAATATTATATTTTTAACAGGCCGGGACAGGAAAAGTCCGTTAAAAATTCATATCTTCTTCATCAGACGTCCGTTTTCGTCTGTCTTTTTACCGTTGTACTACTATTTTCGGGATCTTCGATTCTCGTTAAGGTTGCGTCGGCTAAATGTCGCTCGATCTCTATTTCGAGTTTTTAGCTGTCTACTGCTGTATCCGAAACTTAGAAAAATCATAACTTCCTCATACAAAGTTAGATTTGGACGTTCTTTTTATGCACGTTTACGGTTTAACATAATCTACGACTTTCATTTAGATACCTAAGGCTAAAAAGTATTCTATCAAAATTTCACTTTTTATACTTAACAGTGTTTTACCGGTTTTGTCGCGAACCTTTGATTGGTCATAACTTCTTCGTTATAACTCGGATTTTTGTGTTCTTTATATTTCTGAAAATCATGATATGATATCTAACATATTATGTACCTCAATTGAGACTTTTGATCATTTCATTTTAGACGCTATTTCTTTATTATATAAAAAATAGATTACAATTCTTGACTTTAGAACATTACTTTGTCTTGAAATATCGGGTTGTCACAACGAGACACCCGGCAGCCCCGTTACTCTCTCCGTCTATGGTTGGAGGATGTACTCACCTTTCACTCCTTATCTTACATGTGTCACTTCAACGTCATCTCATTTTCCTCTCTCCTCACTCTTCAAAACCTCGAAAATAGTCATATTTCATTTCCTTATTTTTTTTAAATATATTTTATACAAATATTACTCTTTTTGTAGAGAGCTAGAAACCATAAAGTTTTAATATACTTTTTATAATTTTTTAAGATATATTATTTAACCAAAATGTTATTAGAAGTGAAAAAGAAAAAAATATCACATTTTCTAACCATTAGCCAATCAGAGAAGGAGAGAGAGTGCGGAGAGGTTATCCTGTCCGGGGAAACCCTTCACCTAAACCGCACCCATGATGTGCTGATCTTTGATATTGTTCTAGTCCAATCAGCAAACCACAAACCGCAGTGTGCAGTATCACCCACACCGTCCGACCATAACACATATTTTTTGTTTTATAAAATTGCCTTTCTTTTACTCCAAAACTAGTCCTGAGTTTTTTAATTTTCTTTTACAAATTCATTTTTGTAAGATTTCTTGTTGTTTCATTTTTTTTTATTCTGGCAACTGTTTTTTTACATAAATTTGTTTTTCCAATAAAAGTTAGGTTTCACAATTTTTTCACAAATTCTTCTTTTACATGTTTTTTTTCATATTTTTTATAGGAACAACACAGATACAAAACTTTAGTCATTAAAAACTCCCACCCACTGTAGGTATGCCATTTTTGAACTTCAAGGAAAAGACTTTAAAGCCTAGAATGACAATCACTGTTTTCATATGAAGGCTAGCTCTATTCATTGCAAAAGTAAGTAAAAAAAAGAACAAAATGGTATGGGAAAATAGATGCTAAACTTCTGAAGATTATATGAGGATATTTTATAGGAGTGATTCTTTTCTTTTCTTGTAATATGGTTTCTTGGGTTGCAAAGCAAAGCATTTGGAGAACTTTTGTATTTGGGGGTTATGCTTTTCTTTACCATCACAAAATATGAGGTATACAATATATTATAGTTTTTACGGAAACTTTATACTTTCCTTGAACAACTTTTGATATTCTAAACCCTAAACAAATTTTCTGTCTTAAAACATATTTACAATAAGACTTGTAGAACATAGAAATGAATTTTAGAAAACATGTAAAAAAAATTGTGAAAAAAACTGTGAAAATGTTTTCTTTAAAAAATACATTATAAATTAATTTATAAAAAGATTAAAAAACTAGAAATTTATCTTTCAAAATAAAAATAAAACAAAACAGCAATATCACAAAAAACAAATTTGGAAAAAGAATTTAAAAAATTCAACACAAAATCAATAATAAAAAAACACAAAATCAATAATAAAAAAAATTAACGGTAAATTTATAAAAAAAAAAAAAGAATATAAATCTCGAAACATGCTATTGGTACAACGGATGCTATAGTAGGTACAATGGATACAAAGCAGATTATTTTTCTGGATATTAAACTAGAAAAAAGAAGAATTTTAAATACAGTTAAAATAGTTGATTGGTTATTAATATTGCTAACGCATTTGTAAATATACAGGATGATGTGGCAGTGTTTTGGTCAATGAGATCGAGAATGTTTTGAACAATACGTCCACGCCAGCACCGATATACATTTTTTTCAAATATTTTTCTCCCTTTTCATCTGAAAAAGCAAAATTATAAATACGTAAGTTTTCACATACTCACTCTACCCTTTTGCCTTTCATCTGTAAATTAACTTCCATCCCTTTGAAATCAAAACTCTCATTAAAGAGACGATCTTTCCTTTTTTTTTTTCCAAAACTCAATGGCTGAAATAGTTGTTAGCGCTGTCATCACAGTGCTGTGTGAGAAGCTGATCTCCGGTGACTTGATGAAGCTCGCTCGATCAGAAAGGATCGATTCTCAGCTGAACAACTGGAATAAAAACCTGCCCCTGATCCAAGCCGTGCTTGCTGATGCAACCCAGAAGCAGATTAAAGAGAGAGCTGTTCAATTGTGGGTGAACGATCTCCAGGATTTGGCTTATGACATAGATGATGTACTCGATGATTTGGCCACCGAGGTTATGCGACGCAAGTTGAATCAAGAAGCTCATGCCACCACCAGCATCGGTAAGGTATTGAAGTTCTTCCCAAATTGCTGTACTAAATTCACTCCTCGTAACATTATGTATGGTCGGAAGATGAGTTCAAAGCTAGATGAGATCACCACCAAATTGCGTGGTCTTGTTGACCATAAAAATGACCTGGGTTTGAATGTGACTAAGGAAAGGTCAACTCTAGAGAGACGGCTTGAGGAAAATTCACTGGTTGATGAGTCCAAAATCATGGGTCGGGAAGGGGATAAAGTGACATTACTGGGTAAGTTGTTAGGTTGTGATGAATGTGATGAAAATGTGAGCGTAGTGTCGATAGTTGGAATGGGTGGGATAGGAAAAACCACTCTTGCCAAAGTTTTATACAACGATGAGAAAGTGAAGGATCACTTTGAGCTCAGTGCTTGGGTTTGTGTTTCTGAAGAGTTGGATGTATTTAACATTAGCAAGGCTATTTTTCAAGCAGTAACTGGGAAAAACGAAGATTTTGCTAATCTTAATCTGCTTCATGTGGCCCTCAAAGAAAAACTTTCAAAGAAGAGGTTCCTACTTGTTCTAGACGATGTCTGGAACGAAGACGACAATAAGTGGGAACTCCTCCAAAGCCCTCTTCTTGTAGGAGCACCTGGAAGTAGAATTATTGTCACAACCCGGAGTACCAGAGTTGCATCAGTGATGGACTCACAAGAAACTTACCCTCTAGGCGTTTTGTCAAATGAAGATGCACTGTCATTATTTGCTCAGCACTCGTTAGGAGAAAAAAACTTTGACAATCATCCAACACTTCAGTTGCTTGGTGAAGGTATGGTTCAGAAATGTGGTAGATTGCCTTTGGCTTTGAAAGCACTTGGGAGGGCCTTGAAGGGAAATAGGAATGATGATGAATGGGAGAAGTTGCTGAAGAGTGAGATATGGGATATAGAGGATGGAAATAAGAAGATTCTTCCGGCTCTTAGAATAAGCTACTATCATCTGCCTCCACATTTGAAGCAGTTATTTGCATACTGCTCCTTAATTCCCAAGGACTATGTGTTTGACAAGAATAAATTAGTCCTATTGTGGGTGGCAGAAGGATTTTTGTCCCAATCAAAAGGAAACAAGTCAATGGAGTGTTTAGGTCATGAGTATTTTGAAGAGCTAGAGTCAAGGTCCTTTTTTCAACATTCAACGGATGGCAAGTTAGGATATACAATGCATGACCTGATAAATGACTTGGCCACAAGTGTTGCAGGAGAGTTTTCCTTTAGATTGGATGGTGAGGTTGATGTATCTGCCATGAATGAAACTTTTGATAAGTTTCTTCACTTCTCACTCATAGGTTCAGGATCTAGATCATTTAGAAAGCTCAAGGAATTACAAAGAGCTAAACGTTTGCGAACTGTCTTACTAATCTCAGTACCTTGGGAAATTGGTAGCTTGTTGGACGAATTACTTCCTGAACTACAGTTCCTGAGGGTGCTAAGTGCCGTGGGCTTGACTCCGAGTGTTAATTACCTATGGCAAGAACTTATTCTTTCAATCACAGTGGTACCACAATCCATTGGTAGTCTCAAGCATCTACGGTATCTTAATTTTTCTCATTCTAATATTACATGTTTGCCGGAACAAGTGAGTCACCTTTATAATCTACAGACCATGTTGCTTCATAATTGTCATCAGTTATCTAGCTTGCCAAAGAGTTTTGCAAAGTTAATAAACCTTCGACATTTTGGAATAGATAATACTCCACAGGTGATCAAGTTGCCCTTAGGAATTGGTGATTTGACGAGTCTACAAACTCTATCCAAGGTCATGATTGAAGAAGCCAACGGGTTGAAAATATCAGATCTTAAGGAACTATCGGATCTTCAAGGTCGACTTTCCATTATTGGTCTGGACAAAGTGATAAATCCATTAGAAGCAAAGGATGCCAATTTACATCAAAAGAAGGGTCTTGAAGTTTTGGAGATGGAATGGAGTGATAATTTGTTTGATGATTCTCAGGATGAGACGATTGACTATGAAGTACTTGAAGAACTAAGGCCTCCTCCTAAGTTAAAAATCCTCAAGATTTTGAATAACAAGGGAACGAGATTTCCTAGTTGGATCGGCGATCCCTCGTTTTTGATCAGTTAACAGAGATTACGTTACGTGGTTGTAGAAGTACACACTTACCAACACTTGGATGTTTAGGGTCTCTTAAGAAATTGGTTGTTGAAAGCATGAGTGAGGTGAAGAGTGTGGGTTTTGAGTTTCTTGCACCTGTAAGTTCTTTTATTGGCATTGGATTTCCATCACTTGAAGTTCTGACATTTAAAGATATGAAAGGTTGGCAGAGATGGTCGATTAATAGTGGTGATGACCATAGGACTTCTAGATCATTTCCTCGTCTTCATAAGATCTGTATAAGCAAATGTCCAGAACTAGCTGAAGTGTCAATCGGATTGATACCTTCACTTTGGGTTTTAGATATAGAAGAATGTTCCGAAGCAGTGTTAAGAAGCATGGTTGGTTTGTCCTCATCGCTTGTTGAACTGAAAATGGTGAATGTTAAAGGACTTACTCAACTACATGGAGACGATTTAATGCATCTTGGGTCACTTGAACATCTGTACATTGAAAAATGTGATGAACTGAGATACTTGTGGGAACGAGAATCAGAGGCATGCAAGAGTCTTGTGAGTTTACAGAAGTTGGAAGTATATGATTGTAGTGAGTTGGTTTCATCAGCCGAGAAAGAGGCTAATAGTGGGATCAGCATGGAATCACTTAAATCTGTGGAATTTCATGACTGTGAGACATTGGAGAGTTACAATTGTACAAATACTGTTGAGAGGTTGCTTATAAGAAGTTGTAATTCAATGACATCATTGACCTTCTCAGCATAGCAGGAGCAGCCATCCGGTATGACTGAATCGATAGTCAGTGATTGTGATAACATACAGTTACAGCCCAAACCCATTCCCATTCCAGTCAAAGATTTCCGTTTTCTCCGTGTGTCTCACCTAACATTTCTTGATATCCGTTATTGCAAGAATCTAAAGTCATTTCCTCATGATCATTTTCAAAGTTTCACATCTTTGGAAGAAATGTGGATATATCAATGTCCAAGTATGGACTGCTCCTTTCCTTGTGGGGTGTGGCCTCCTAATTTAAGGAAACTATCAATAGGAATGTTAAATAAGCCCATGTCAGAGTGGGGCCTGCAGAATTTCCCAACCTCACTAGTTGAACTAGAGTTATATGGCTACGATTCAGGAGTGGTTTCATTTTCAGTGGCAGACGATGTGAGGAATACGACTACTCCTTCATCATCATCATCATCTTTTCTTCTTCCGCCATCTCTGGTTTCTCTAGAGCTCCATGGTTTTAAGGATGTGGAATCATTTTCAGAGGTCTTACCAAACCTCCCCTGCCTTAAAAAACTTGAAATTTGGTATTGCCCGAAGATTACAGATCTTAAGACAACTTCCGGCCCATCAAATTTGACAATAACGGTGTGCTAGTAGAAAAGGTATGTGAATGTCATCTCCTTGCCCATCATTGCTCTGTTACATAAGTATTAGGAATATCAATTTTGAGACTTGTTTGTTTTGTTGGTTGAGAAGATTATTTTAAATATTTAACCAAAAATCAAAACTTATACTAAAAGAAGAAGAAAAAAATATTGCAAGTGCAGTAGCAATGAATAGTTTTCATCTGCTTTTCATAACAACTTTTACCATTAAGTTGCTATGTTTCCATGTGAGGAAGAACCGAATGAATACTTGTATCTTACTGTTATATAGGTTACAAATGTTTTATTTTTACCTGCATTGTGTTACAAAATCTTTGTGTTTCCTTTTTTTATTGTCATATTTTTGTTTTCATTGATATCAGCTTCCAATAACCTTGTCCATTCTTGAAAGAAAAACTAGTAAACATAACAAGACTGCACAATTTGCACTTCATCCACAAACTTTGACATTAATTTTAGGTCAAACCCTATTGTCATTAAGATCTTGACTTTGATAAATTTTGTACAAATTTGGCACTGTCTTAATTCCTTTGTTGTATTTGGTATACGACTTCACATTTTTCTTACAAATTTGTATCAATTTTCAGGTTAGTATTAGTCCATTTTACATTAGAATTTATTCTGTTAATGTAAAAATACGGTCAAACTTTGTATAGAATGACTAATTGTGTTATTTATTTTTTTGTTGTGAATATCATTTTCTTATTTCTAGGTAATAAGTACCATATATAAGGATGATGTAAGTACTATATATTCTAAACTTTTCTAGAAATCTATCCCCCAACTTCTTTGCTCTCGTTAGTGATTACTGGAAGAGATTGTTACTGAAATCATTAAAACAGTATCCAGTTTTACTAATGACTTTTATTCTTGATCACTCGATTTTTCTACAGGTGAAACATGGAGCAGGGCTATCTACACCACTCTAGAGAGGCGAATCTGGTGAATATGCATGAAGAGATTTACACAGTTGCAGCATTCGATATCATAGTCCATAGGATGGAGGTTGCAGAAGGTCATTCGATTGTAAATAGTAAATAGTAAATACGAAATACATTTTCTAAATCTGGGATAATTAGTGATGGATCTAACCATGTATTGGTTCGTTGACAGTGATTGGATGCATAGGTGCTTCCATCAAAGACTGGGGTGTGGGTTTAAGTGTGGTTAGGCTGGTGGGGTCCTACTACGAGCTAGTAGCATTGGTTCTGGGTCTCGGATACAAAAACTTGACTACCAAGGGTGTTGGGGTTTTCAAAAATGGTTGTAACTTTGAATGATTTTGTTGCAAAAAAAAAATGATCCACAAAACTGAACAAACTATGAGACTTTTTTATAATTTGTCCTAAAAATTATAAATTTATAATAAGACTTGTTTACAAATTGGTGATATGATTTAGCTGATAAAAATAAAACTACAATTAACACCAAGTTTATACTTACTCTGTCTATATTATTAAAAACTCTTAGCACTCATGCTTAAGTTTTGTTTTGTTATGAACTTTTCTTTTATTAATTTACCGAAAAAACATGTATCTCTATATAAAAAGTGGATACATTTTTGGGATAATGTCAGAGGTCCAATAAACTCTGTCATTTTGTTTTGAAAGATCCTTAATGTTTTTTATTTTTATAGTAAGCCTCTGAGGTTTTAAAGTCCATTTCCCTTGTTAAAAAAGGTTATTTGAAAAAAAAAATGTACAATTATCTTTGTCATGTCATTAATGAGATAGTCAACCTGGATGAACATTTGTGAAGAATTTCTTTTTCTATATTTTTTTCTATTTTATTTATTTTAAAATTAGAATGGCCCACCCTACCTCCTAACCCCATTGTATCTCTTTCATCTTCATCCCTATATCATATAGCGGTCTTGGCTTCATATTCTTGTTAAACATAGCAAGAATATATCCATAAATTTAACTTTTTGTGAACAAAGATAATGAATTACCCACAAACATGGCTACAACACTCATTCCCATTTTTGCTCCAGAAACTCCATTCTACGCGCAGTTGAAACTGTTATCACCGTTATTAATATCATCTTCAAGGCATTCTCTATTGATCGTGAGTTGTAGATCATATATGTAATTTGGTATTTTTCCCATAATTGATCTCTTTCATTAAACATAATTATATACACAAACATCATACAAGAATGGGCCAAATACAGTGGGTTGAAAATCGTGAATGAGAGAGAGACCCTCTTTTATTTATAAATATACAAATTATTAAATAAGTATTAAATTAAAAAAATGAAAGAAAATGGAAAATAAATGCACCAAGGTCATAACAATAAAATAAAATAAAATAAAATAAAAATTGATGTTTGGATTAAACCTTAGAAAAAAAAAAATACAAACCACAGGAACCATTTTTGCAGTTTTGTCATCCGAAAATTTAACATGGGATGTCTTCTAAAGAACGAGAGTAGCAGCTACTTCATCTTCATTCTTATAACACAACCCAACCCAACCCTAAAACCTCCCCTTGACTGCCATTGCGATCGAACAAGAGAGAAGGTTAATAGGGAAAAGCCCAAAAATGATGAAATTGGGATAGAGAGAGGACGTCAGGAAGGAAAGAAGTGCTGTCGGAAAATGGTGGTGGCTGGTCGGAAATTGATCGTTGGAATCTTTGGCGGGAGAAGGGAGGAGGAGGTGGTGATTTTGCTTGACATCCTTGGTCGGTAACTATTTCTTCATCTACCTTTTTTTTTTTCTTTTCTCATTAAAGCACCAAACACCACCACCACAAACCACCGCCGTCGCCAGTGGTGGTGGCTGCCGGAGGACCACCGTGGCACCACCTTGTCATGAAGAACACAAAGGAAAATGATTTTTTTTCATATATTTTCTTTTTAAGTTGACGGTCCAGGGAGGCAGGGAAGGATCGAAATTACAAATAAGTTCCTTTTTGGACAAAAAACAACAAGAATCTAAACATAAGGACCAAATCTGTAATTGAGGCACATTATAAAATGTATAAGTCAGCTTTGCAGTTTACTCGGTCAACCTTGCTTCGACAAAATTTCACCTTTTGAAATCAAAACCTTCAGCAAAGAAACGATATTTCCTTTTTCCTAATTCCAAATTCGAATGGCTGAAATCGCTGTTACTGCCGTCATCACTGTGCTGTGTGAGAAGCTGCTCTCTGGTGACCTGATGAAGCTGGCTCGATCTGAAGAAATCGATTCTCAGCTGAACAAATGGAAGAAAACCTTACCCCTGATCCAAGCCGTGCTTGGTGATGCAAGCCAGAAACACATAACAGACAGAGCTGTTCGATTGTGGGTGAACGATCTCCAGGACTTGGCTTACGACATAGACGATGTACTTGATGATTTGGCCACGGAGGCTCTGCGACGCAAGTTGAATCAAGAAGCTCATGCCAGCACCAGTACTGGTAAGGTATTGAAATTCTTCCCAAATTGTTGTACAAATTTCACTCCTCGCAACTTCATGTATGGTCGGAAGATGAGTTCTAAGCTAGATGAGATCACTGCCAAATTGCGTGATCTTGTTGACCAGAAAAATGATTTGGGTTTGAATGTGAATGTTGAAAGGTCAAATATAAGAGAGAAACCATTGGAGCAGACGTCACTGGTTGATGAGTCCAAAATCATGGGTCGGGAAGGGGATAAAGAGGCATTGCTGGGGACGTTGTTGGGAAATGAAGGATGTGACCAGAATGTGAGCATAGTGTCGATAGTTGGAATGGGTGGGATTGGCAAAACCACTCTTGCGAAACTCTTATACAACGAGGAGAAAGTGAAGGATCACTTTGAACTCATGGCATGGGTTTGTGTTTCTGAAGAGTTTGATGTATTTAACATTAGCAAGGCAATCTTCCAAGCTGTAACTGGTAAAAACGAAGACTTTGCTAATCTCAATCTGCTTCACGTGGCCTTCAAAGAAAAACTTTCAAAGAAGAGGTTCTTACTTGTTCTAGACGATGTTTGGAACGAAGACCACAGTAAGTGGGAACTTCTTCAAAGCCCTCTTCTTGTAGGGGCATATGGAAGTAAGATTATTGTCACAACAAGGAGTACCAAGGTTGCATTGGTGATGGACTCGGAACTATCTTATGGTCTGGACGTTTTGTCAAGTGAAGATGCACTATCATTATTTGCTCAACAGGCTTTAGGTGAAAAAAACTTTGACAAACATCCAACACTTAAGTTGCTTGGTGAAGGTATTGTAAAAAAATGTGGTAGACTACCATTGGCTTTGAAAGCACTTGGGAGGGTTTTGAAGACTGATAGAAATAGTGATGAATGGGAGAAATTGTTGAAGAGTGAGGTATGGAATATAAAGGATGCAAGAGGGATTCTTCCGGCTCTTAAACTAAGCTACTATCATCTTCCTCCACATTTGAAACTGTTGTTTGCATACTCCTCCTTGTTTCCCAAGGACTATGTATTTGTCAAGAATAAATTAGTCCTGCTCTGGATGGCAGAGGGATTTTTGTCCCAATCAAAGTCAATGGAGAGTTTAGGTCATCAGTATTTTGAAGAGCTACAGTCAAGGTCCTTTTTTCAACATTCAACGAATGATGAGTTACTGTATACAATGCATGACCTGATAAACGACTTGGCCACAAGTGTTGCAGGAGAGTTTTTCTGTAGATTGGATGGTGAGATGAATGTATCGGACAGGAATGAAAATTTTGAGAAGTTCCGTCACTTTTCACTAATAGGTCCACAATTTGGATCATATGGAAATTTTAATGAATTACAAAGAGCTAAACGCTTGCGAACGTTCTTACCATTGCCAGGTGGTTGGTTAGACAGTGGTCATGTTGAATTACTTCACAAACTACAGTTCCTAAGGGTGCTAAGACTAACTAGAATCACAGAGGTGCCACAATCGATTGGTAGTCTCAAGCATCTTCGGTATCTTAATTTTTCTTATAGTGGAATCAGATGTTTGCCAGAACAAGTGGGTGACCTGTATAATCTACAGAGCTTGTTGCTTCAAAATTGTTTTATGTTATCTAGCTTACCAGTAAGTTTTGCAAAGCTAATAAACCTGCGACATCTTGACACAAGTGATACTCCGAAATTGAACAAGATGCCCTTAGGTATTGGTGGGTTGACAAGTCTACAAACTCTACCCAAAGTCACTGTTAAAGAAGCTAACGGGTTCAAAATATCTGATCTTAAGGAATTATCGGATCTTCAAGGTCGGCTTTCCATTATTGGGCTGGAGAAAGTGATAGATCCAATACAAGCAAAGGATGCCAAGTTATATCAAAAGAAGGGTCTTGAAGTTTTGGAGATGGAATGGAGTGATAATGTGTTTGATGATTCTCGGGATGAGACGATTGAATATGAAGTACTTGAAGAACTAAGGCCTCCTCCTAAGTTAAAAAACCTCAAGATTTTGAATAACAAGGGAACGAGATTTCCTAGTTGGGTCGGGGATCCCACGTTTGATCACTTAACAGAGCTTACATTATCTGGGTGTAGAAGTACACATATAAGAGTTGGACATCTGAAGTCTCTTAAGAAATTGGTTGTTGAAAGCATGAATGAGGTGAAGACTGTGGGTTTTGAGTTACTTGCACCTACTAATTCGAATCTTGGGATTGCATTTCCATCACTTGAAGTTCTGAAGTTTTATGATATGCAAGGTTGGCAGAGATGGTCAATTAATAGTGCCAATGAACATGGAACTCCTAGTTCTTTTCCTCGTCTTCATGAGATCTCTTTAATAAGTTGTCCAGAACTATCTCAAGTGTCAATCGGATTGATACCTTCACTTCGGTTTTTACGTATAGAAGAATGTTCCGAAGCAGTGTTAAGAAACATGGTTGGTTTGTCCTCGTCACTTGTTGAACTAAAAATGGTGAATGTTATAGGATTTACTCAACTACATGGAGAAGATTTAATGCATCTTGGGGAAGTTAAACATCTATTTATTTATAGATGTGACGAATTGAGATACTTATGGGAACGAGAATCCGAAGCATGCAGAAGTCTTGTGAGTTTACAGATCTTAGAAGTACGAGATTGTAAAAAGTTAGTTTCATCAGCCGAGAACGAGGTTAATTGTGGGGTTAGAATGGGATCTCTTAAACAAGTGTTGTTTATTAACTGTGGCAAACTAGAGAATTACAATTGTCCAAATAGTGTTGAGAATTTAGTGATCAGGGATTGTGATTCACTGACATCTTTGACCTTCTCAACAGTGCATGAGCACCTGTTTGGCCTTACATCTCTTGAAATCAGATTTTGCAAGAATCTAAAGTCATTTCCACATGAGTATTTTCAAAGTCTCGCATCTTTGGAAGAACTGGAGATACATGATTGTCCAAGTATTGATTACCCCTTTCCTTGTGGTTTGTGGCCTCCAAATTTACACAAACTAACGATAGGATGCTTAAAAAAGCCCATGTCAGAGTGGGGTCCGCAGAATTTTCCAGCCACATTACATGAATTATACTTGCATGGAAAAAATTCAGGAGTGGTTTCATTTGCAGTGGCAGAAGATGTGAAGAATAATATTATTACTACTCCATCATCATCTTTTCTTCTTCCACCATCTCTTGTTTCTCTAACACTTTGGAAGTTTACAGATGTGGAATCATTTTCAGAGGTCTTACAACACCTCCCATGCCTTAAAAGACTTGATATTTTGTCATGCCCTAAGATTACAGATCTTAACACAACTTTCGACCAATCAAATTTGACAATAAGGGTGGTTTAGCAGAAAAGTAGGCCATCTCCTTTCTGATCACCCTATAATAAACATCACAAATTCTTTTTTTACTTTTGCCTAAATGTAATATTCCTTGTTAAGTAGAGTTTCAGCGTCAGCGTTTTTTGCTTTTTCAATACTTGTCCCAAAATATTATTAGCATTAATTTGAGACTTGTTGATTTGTTTGTTGATAAGATATTAAAATTATTGTTGTAAATACTTTTGCCTAAGTGCAGCAGCTGAATAGCTTTTCGGTTTTTGAATTAATTTGCTTTTTCTTTTAATCAACAGCAGCGATTTTATAAACTAAAAGCCAGCAGGAAGCTGGAAAGAAATACAAAGTAGAAAAAATAAAACTACAGTTACAAACAAAAAGCAACAGCCCTATATTTTGATTTACCCAGCAAAAATCACCACGCCAAAACACACAAATTTCTAATAAAAATAAGCAAAACACAACTCATTACTCAAAAAGAAAAACACACACTAGATTAGCCCCATACCCGATCTTTTATTTGTGGGCCTTGGAAGATGTACCAGATTTCTAGAGGCTAAGTTTCATTTCTTTATATTGCAACATTTTTTCCTTATTAACGCATTTTACTTTTAAAAAAAATAATCCAATTACAACACGGTACTTTCAATTTGTTTTCTTATTAACCTACTTTGAAAATCTACCCACCTACAACATTGTATTTTCAATCTTTCTCTTTTTAAGATAATGTACTTTCAATAGTGTACCAACTTATAGTATCTACATATAATTTTTATGTTAGTTGCACACTTTTCAATTACATTACCCAGCTTCTTCCTCTATTTCTTTTAAATTATAATGTATCATTCATGTCTCAAAAACTGAAAGCAAAAGTTTATATAATTTGTTAGTTACATATTTTTTAATGACATTACCAAACTTTTTCCCTTTTTTCTTTTATTAAACTTTAGTTCATCATTTTTTTTATTAAATCTTAACGTATCATTTTGTTGTTAATCACACATTTGTTAACAGAATAATTCGAAACCAAAACCAAAAAAATGAAAAATATAGACCCCAAACTGAAAAACGAACAGAAGAAGGCGCAATAATTGCAAGACCATACTGAAAAAGACCAAGACCAGACCATACCGAAACCAATAAAAATCAGTACCAAAAGAACATGACAGTTTCAAGACTAACCCAAGACTGGTCTACGACCATCACTATGCAACTCTAGGGTCCACCATAGTAGCATTGGGTGTGATTTATGTGTCTCGAATGCAAAACTTGACAGCCAAGGTTGTTGGTGGTTTGAATTTGGAAAATTGATTGAAACTTGAATGCTTTTATTACATAAAAAAAATAATAAAGAATATATAAATAAATGAATGACCCACTGAACTGAACAAACTACGACATCTTTTTCATAATTGGTCCAAAAAAATAATACATTTACAAAAAGAATGATTTACAAATTGGTGATATGATTTACCTGATGAAAAATAAACTACAATCAACAGAATTTATGGTTTACTCTGTCTAGATTACTAAAAACTCTTAGCACTCATGTTTACGTTTTGTTTCATTGTTACGAATTTTTTAAAAAAGTGGATAAATTTTACTAAACAGCAACCAAACAAAAGAATAAAAAAAAAAAAACTAAAATGTTTAAATAACAAGTAAATAATCTTCCGATAATTCAAACCTCTCGAGACATAGAAGAAAAGAATATACATAAATACTCTACATACAAAATAAACACTAAACCTCACCCGCAAAACCATATTTGGCTCACCAATCAACCAAACTCAAATCATTATATAATTCTCAATAACCTTCCGGTGATGACATCACTTTCCGGCAACAATTTCCGGCCACTCCGGCGACCCTATAAGTTTAGGGCCATGATTAATATCAAACGTGTTACCTTGTTGCAACCGAGTGGCACTATGATTAGAAATGACGTTTATACCCCTCTCATTATACTCTTTTGTAGAAAAGGATATAGGCTTGGTCATGTAAGACCTTGTTTGTAGGGATTGCAGTGACAGAAGCATCATCAAATCGGAACCATTGATCTTTTGGGTAAAAAGCATCCGCTGTGTAATGGCCCTTGGATGCTTCCCTTCCATGGTGGGTCACTGAGGAAATCAGTGTGTACTTGCGACCCTGGATATTTGTCAAAAAAAGTTAGATGCAAGAAATAGCAACATACTTTCATTTATTTGATATTTCAAAGATAATATTATCCTAAATTACCAATAAGAAAAAAAAATGAAATTACAATGATCGAATTAGATGGATTTGTAAAGTATAGTGCCTCAAGAAAGAGAGGGCTAGTCACATAACAGACATTATATTTTGTGTTTTTTCTTTTTCTTGAAAGAGACCTTGCATTTTTTTTTCAATTTTTCCGATTAGTCCCTTTTAGTCATTTTTTCCAAAAAAAAAATTGTAAAATGTGAGGGTTTTTTCGAGAAAACTAAAAAAGTTGAGCGTTTAGTTAGAAGGTTGAGAGATTTTTTTGGAAAAAAAAACAACAAAGTTGAGGGTTTTTTCGGTTAAAATGAAAAAATACGAGATCTTTTTCGCGAAAAAAATAAAAATGAGGTTTAATCCGGAAAAAATACAAAATATAAGATCTTTTATGAGATTAACCCATCAAAAATGGGAATACAATGTTGTAATGAAAATATATGAAAGTAGGATAGTATAATATGCAAATAAAGGTAACTACATCTTATTTCTTGTGTATAACCCTAAGAAAAACTTTTAGTGAGCTGCTGACAATAACAAAAGACTACTGACATACTAGATACTAAAAATATCAGGATTGAATGTTAAAATTACTAGCTTGTCCCTGGTTACCAGATTTTCAAGGGATTGTTTTTACTGGTCTTTTATCATAGAGTAAATTACACGAATGGTCCCTATGGTTTGGGGTAATTTGCATGTTTGGTCCCTAACTTGTTTTTTTAACTCGGAAGCTCCCTACTGTTTGTTTTTGTTGCGCGCTTGGTCCCTGTCTTACCTAAAAAGACTATTTTGCCCTTGATTTTTTTAAATTATTTAAATAAACACACCCCCAACCCCACTTCACCTTACCTTACCTTATCTACCCCACCTTATTTAAATAAATTAAAAAATCAAGGGCAAAATAGTCTTTTTAGGTAAGACACCAAGCGCGCAACAAAAACAAACAGTAGGGATCTTCCGAGTTAAAAAATAAGTTAGGGACCAAACGTGTAAATTACCCCAAACCATAGGGACCATTCATGTAATTTACTCTTTATCATATAGTAATTATAAACTAGACATGTTAAGTAATAGTTAAATAACTATATTAAAAATATGTATAGATAATTTTTAAATAGCATTCAAAGTAATATAATAAAAGTCAAAAACAATAAACAAAATACCTATTTCCTAATCAATTAACAAATTACACCATATGAATAACATTAATAATAGGACAAAAAACAAAACATCAATTGTATTTTCCCTATTATCAATCTAGCCATCTAACTAATTTCTTTAGTGATGCTTTTTGTCACCATTTTAATCAGTAGAAAAATAAAAAACATTACCTCTGTTGTTGGGGAAACAAGCAAATCACGACTCAATACCAATTCAAGTGGAAAACGAACAGATTTGTGTAGTTTTGTGCTTCCATTTGTTCCATAACCAAATCTCTTCAAATGCAATATCATTATCTTTGGAAGTGTCTGTAAGTTTACAGACTTTCTAGCTGTAACAACCCCTGACTGAAACACAATATCCATATGTTAATTTATCAACAAATTAAGTCCTTTATGAAATAAGCCAGAAAGATAACACTCATAGCCCACAAGAGTTAAGGTATTGTTTCTTTTTGGTTTAATATCATAAAAGACCTTTATATATTGTGCTTTTTTCCAGACTAAACCTCAACTTTATTTTTTTCTGAAGGGTTAATCTCGTTAAAAAAAAACCTTATATTTTGTGTTTTTACCGGATTAAACCTCAACTTTATTTTTTTCCTAAAAAAAGACCTTGTATTTTTTTCTGAAAAAAACCCTCGATCTTCTAACTGTTTCCGAATAAATCCTCAACTTTTCTAGTTTTTCCCGAAAAACCCCACATTTTACAGCTTTTTTCAGAAAAAAATGACTAAAGGATCAAAGCGGAGAAAATGAAAAAATGCAAGGTCGTTTTCAGGAAAAAAATAAAGTTGAGGTTTAATCCGAAAAAAACACAATATATAAGGTCTTTTATGAGATTTACCCTTTTCTGAAAAATATTTTTTTTCCATTTTTTTTATATTCGACCTTTTAGCAGGGTTTTTTCCAAAAAAACTTGTTAAATGAGGGTTTTTTTGAAAAAAAAATATAAAGTTGAGGGATTTTTCGGAAAAAAATAAAAGGTTGAGGGTTTTTTGGAAAAAAATGAAAAAAAAATATAGGGTCTTTTTCTGGAAAAAAATAAAGTTATTAAATAAAATTAAAGTGATGAAAGAAAACAAGAAATGATACCTTTCCAGATGTTGTTCTATATTCATCAAGTGTTTCAGGGATAGAATATAAACGAAGAGCATCTTCAATGGTGGCAACACCTTCATGAGAGATATCAAGATGGAGTAAAAGAAACGGTTGAACAGTGGCAGATGCTTTATTCCCTGTTAATAGAAAACGTTGCAGATGATGACTCATAAAGTGAAATACCTAAAGTACCCTTGGTAATAGAGAAACTTGTAAAAACATGCATTCAAGGGTTGAAAAAAACTTAGCTATGATATAAAATTTGATTTGGATTGTTGGATAAATAAAACCTCCAAATCTGGTTTGTTAATGAAAACGTTGTAGATGATGACTCATAAAGTGAAATACCTAAAGTACCCTTGGTAATAGAGAAACTTGAAAAAAAATTGTGGACAACAGTTTGTGTCATCAATAATTTGTAAAGATTAGTAACAGGTAAAAACAAGGATATTTTGGGTGGAATCCATCTAAAAATAAAGAAAACATTGCATTCAAAAATCTAAACAAATTATAAGTATTTATATTCATTTCATCCAAATACAAAGCAATTTTCAGTTCTACAATTGGGTAGAATGTTCAAAGTAAAATATCCTAATAAGAAAAAAAAATGAAAGTACAACACTACAAGTGGGTAGATTTTTTAAAAAACGTTGCCTTAATAAGAAGTAAAATGTTGTAATAGAAAAAAAAATAAAAGTACAATGCGATAATAAACAAATAAATGAAATTACATTGGTATTTCTTGCCTTAGCCCTTTTTTAACAACCCAAACTAAGAAGCTTATCTTTTTTACAATTTTTAACAACCCATAAATAAAAAAAGTAAAATTTGTAAATGAGTTGTTCATCATAACATAATCCAGAAGTTTCTTTACACTTTTACATCCAAATTCATTTGTAGTTCATACAAATTCTACAGATTGCTAAGTTTAGTGCTTTCTTTAATCAGAGTTTTATTAACTTGGACTGATTTTTTAAAAAACTAAATACAAACATAGGAATAAAAAAAGCTACCTCTTGCTTTAACAACACTTCTCAATTGTCCTCCAAAAATTGCACTAAGTTCTGAAGGAGCAAAGTTTTGTGTTCTTGTGACTGCAGATTTGTTCTTAGGGCCCACAGTTTCCCAATCATCATCTTCTACAGATGAAAGAAGTGAAGATCCATTTCCATTTGCAGTTGATGAATATTGTCCTTCAAGTTTTAGTAATTCATCATGCATTTGATGCATAATGAAACTTAGAAACTCCTGTGCATCTTCTTGCCTAAAATTAAAATTCAGTTTCATTATATATATAGCAGGAATCTAATCAATTTATCAATCTACATGTAAATCGATAAAAAAGAAGAGTTCAGTGGTTAAATAAAACAAAAAGGTGAAACTACATTATGTTTTTCTGCATTTTGTAAAATCGGGTTAAGCAGGAAAAATGGTTTTTTCAAAGGTTGGAAAAGGTATAATGGTTTAATCTCTATAAGTAATAGTTAAGTGGCTAGATAAATAAAAAATGGTGGAAATACATTGTGCTTTTCTTTAATTCTCCCTCTTACTAATTTAAACTGTTAGCATATCAACACAAAGACCTCTAAAAAATACTTTAAAATTCATCATTGTAACCCATTGTTCTATAAAAAAAAAAAACACATGCATCATAGTACCCCATAATAACTTCTCAATTTTTCTTGAGCCACAAATTCAACAAGTTCACATTCGAAAAAAAAAATGATATGAAGAAATGATAAGATTAGGGTTAAATGTAAGAAATGGCAACATACTTCATTTAACTTGTTTAATCTAAGGTTTTTTGGGTTAATCTCATAAAAGAAATTATATTTTGTGTTTTTTCCCAAAAAAAACCCTCAGTTTTTTCTTTTTTATCCGAACAAAAACCCTCAACCTTCAAACTGCTTCCAAATAAACCCTCAATTTTTTATTTTTTCTCGAAAAAACCCTCACATTTTACAAAAAAATTGTAAAAAAATGACTAGAAGGGCCAGAACAGGAAAAATGAAAAAATACAAGGTTTTTTCAGGCAAAAAACAAATTTGAGGTTTAATCCGGAAAAAACACAAAATATAACTTCCAATTTTTCATAGTACAAATAATGTACTTTAAAAAAAAAACTACTCAATTATAGCAAATACCATTAAAATACAAAGCAATTTTCACTGCTATTTTGTAGAGTATCTCAATAAGAAAAAGATTAAAAGTACAATGCAACAATTAGGTTAACTTTTTGAAGTTCAATGCCTTAATAAAAAAAAGTAAACTAAAATTACAATACTCTAACAGAAAGAAATAGGAGTAGAATACAATAAAACAACAATACACAAATAAAAAAAAAAGTATGTTGATATTTCTTACATATATACAATAAACACATACCTAGGCCTTCCTGAGATGCTATTAGGAACATCAGGAGTAAAATTCTTTAAGACAACTTCAAACATTGTAGGGCTGAAAGGTCTTCCAGTTTGCATATTGTTCATATCCTTTGAGATTGTGCCAGCTGGCATCTTGAATTCAGAAATAAATTCCATAAAAGCAGCTAATGTTGGATACCCAGTCTACATATAATAACACAAGATAATATTTTTTTAGCTATACAATCTAAGGGTAATTGTGTATTTATGCAATTATCAGTGTAGATTGTTGCATAAGTTTTCACTAAGTTACCAAGTAAATAAAGATTGCATATTTTGGTTCTAAAATGAAAAATCATAGCATAATTTGGATTAAAGACTACTTTGTTGCAAAAATTGAAAAAAAAAAGGGTGAACATTATTGCATGAATTTACACCTTTTTTTCCAATTTATGCAAATGACACAAACTTTGCAACAACATCTACACAGGATTAATAGGTTAACAGTTCAATATTGCATTTTTTGGTTCTAAAACAAAAACATATATTCGTATAAAAAAACATTTGTTGCATAAAGAGGAAAAAGGTGAAACATTGTTGCATTAATTTTCACCTTCTCACCAACTTATGCAACAATCTTTCAAAAGGCTAAATTGGTTACAAGTAAAATACTGCATCTTTTGTCCCATATTTTGTACAAAAACCACTTTGTTGCATATATTAGGAAAGAGTCAAAACATTGTTGCATAAATAAACCATAAACACTACAATCGATTGATTGCATATCACAAAATATGTATCAACTATTAACACAATTTAGACATTGAAATCTATCAAATGCACTTAAATATCAATAGCAAACCTTGTGAATATTTCGGGTGCTTATCCCCTGAAAAAGCTGAATAACTGGAGAACAAGACAAAAGAGCTTGTAGTGTAGCATTGAGAAAGCACATGTTCCCTGAGTTTATTAATCCACGAGGTAATAAACATATCTCTGAATCCTTTAAGTGGCCATTAAAAGTGTTATTCAATGTTTCTTCTTTCACACCCACAAAGCTTTGGATTTGATTTTGTACTACAGAAGCAGGGGCGTTTTTGGAAGGCGTGTTTGAAGAACAATGATTAATATTTTCAACGGGTTTTTGCTTCATGTTGCCATTGTTACCATGTTGCACTCCATTTTCTTTTGGGTGTACTAAAGCTTCTGGCTTTTGATTACTGATTGCTTCACCATTGAAACTACCAAAAGATATTCCACTTGATATCTTTAATGAATCAAGATCTAGGGTTTTGTTTTTTGTGGGCTTTTCAGTATTTTTTGAGGGCTTATTAAGCCATGATTTCACTTCATCTTCAGAGAATGATCCGAATAATAGTACCTTCAAAATTAAAGAAAAAATCAAGAATTTTAACAACCAAAGATGCAGCAATTGGTGAGATGCATTAAAAATGAGGGTATAAGTTCCATCATCCCAGAATAAGGGGAAGTGTTTAGAAATCACTCTCTGTTTTCAAATTTAAATACGTGTTGATAAAAAATCATCATGATAAACAACTACTATAGCAATTAATTGGGGCAACAAGTTAGTTAAATAGTCTCCCTTAAGAAAAAGTCTCGGTTAATAAGAAAAATAATGCCTTTGAAGTTTGAAATTTCACTAAGGCTTGACTATAAATACACCTTTTGATATGGATGATGTAATACGCATAAGAACTTTCATCTGGGCAATCAAAATTGAGCAAAACATTCTAACTTCCATAAAATATCATCTAGCACAATTCGCTATAGCTAAGCTTTCTCGAATCAGTTATAACAAGTAATACCCACATCACATATACTTCCATTGCGATAGATTGATGTTTACCTGTGGTTGATCAGCCATGATGTGGTTCCGGTGTCAAATTCAAAGTGTTTTGCTTATGAATACGAGTACTATCAAAGACGTATAGAAGAACCCTATTGGAAAGAATCTAGAATTCAGTAGGATTTGAGTGGGAACGAAAGCACAGGTGTATGAAGAAACGTCAATGAGGGAAGACATGTAATTATAAGGTAAGAGAGAAGAGAACATTTAACAGAGGAAAAAGAGTGCAATCGCCGGCCTTGAAGGTGTCGGTGATGAGCCGAAAATCTGACCGATGAACGGCGCATCGACGGTGGGGAATAGAAGAGGCGGCCTGTGTTCCTCTGCTTATTATATGGTTTTTGTAGGTTTAGGTTTCCTCTTTTCTTCCTTGTTATTTCCTTCCTTTACTTCTTTCAATAATATCATTTTTGGTCCTTGTAGTTTTGCTACTTATATGATCTTCCTTTTACGTTATTATATATATATATATATATATATATATATATATATATATATATATATATATATATATATATATATATCTATTGATGAGATATGGTCCATTGGCATGGCCTAGACTGCTCTAGCGCGCCAGCCTGGCCTGGCGCGCTCCTGCCAGCCCTGTTTGGCGTTCCCTTGCCAGCCTTGCCTGGCGCTCCCTTACCAGTCCTGCTGGGGACTCTCTTGCCGGCCCGGCCAGGCGCTCCCTCGCCTGGCACTCCCTTGTCATCATTTCCTAGTGCACGCCCGCCAGACCCGCCCAGCGCCTCCGGGCGGCCTCACCCAGCTCCTTGCTAGCTGGACCCGAATTGGGCTGGCCCAAGGCCTGGCCTAATCCCCCTTGACCTAGTTGTCCCCTATATAATGAATAGTGCCCCTTCCATGAAAGGGGACCTCTCCTATATCTCTTCCCAGTAGCCTGCCCTAGATCTTCCCCCATGGCTCAGCCGCCACTACACTCCGGCCGGGTGGCTCAGCCGCCACCCGCCGCCGTCAGCCACCATACACCACCACCAGCACCAAGATGGTCCTCTCCAGCTAAGGAGAGCCATCTCAGGTCTTCTAGCTGATCTAACTTGACCGTCGGAGCCCGCTCCCGGGGCACAGTCCCTGGGACGGCTCTAACGGGTTTGCACTGTGATGTCAGATCTCCGCCGCAGCAGAAGACCAGAAGACTCGCCGGAGGTCGATGTTCCATCATTTGGCGTCATCCCAGACTCGAGCAAGTGGCAAAAGCCTCAGTCGGTTTCAAGCTCGTTCTTCCTTAGATCTGATGTGTTTCATCTCAGGTTTCCTCAGATCTGTCAATTTCTAGTATCATTTGTTCAGATCTGTTTGTTTTTTGCCAAGATCCGTTCAAATTTGTTACACCATATTTTAGATCTGTAGATCCATCGTTTTTTAGTTCAGATTTATGGATCTCCACGATCTTCTTCACTCAAATATTCCCCAAACTTGCAAAAATGTTCTTAGATCTGTTCTTGTTTACATTTTGGGGTCTTGATTGAGCAAGATAAGAAGAAAACACGTTTTATGAGTGTTGACACATATTCATCAGCTCATAAGATCAGAAAACCCCTTTTTATAGTTGAATTTTTCTGTATACAACTTCATTTCACGAAACAAATGTTTGTAAAAACAGCTTTGCTGCTCATGCATCTTTCAAGTTTACAAAAAAAACCCTATCAGATCCACTTTCCGTTTATAATGTGGTGATTTGTTAAGAAAGTTTAGTAGAAGAGAAATTTTATGAGTCTTTAACCCATTTTCAGTCAATATATTATCATAAAATCGTTTTTAATCAAGATTTTCTGAAACAACTTTGCTCCTTACAGCATCTGTGTGTAAACCCAATTATGTTTATTGTACATCTCTCAAAACCTTCAAGAAAATCCCTTGAGCTCATGATATCCTGTGAAAATTCTGTTCCTGAAATTATTTTCTTGTACACACAGTTGTGTATTGATGAGATATGGTCCACTAGCGTGGCCTAGACTGCTCTAGCGCGCCAGCTTGGCCTGGCGCGCTCCTGCCAGCCCTGCCTGGCGTTCCCTTGCCAGCCCCTGCTGGGGACTCCCTTGCCAGCCCTTGCTGGGGACTCCCTTGCCAGCCCTGCTGGGGACTCTCCTGCCGGCTCGATCAGGCGCTCCCTTGCCATCCTTTCCTAGTGCGTGCCCGCCAGCCCTGCCTGGGGCGCGCCCGCCAGACCCGCCCGGCGCCTCCGGGCGGCCTTGCCCAGCTCCTTGCTAGCTGGGCCCGAATTGGGCTGGCCCAAGGCCTAACCTAATTCCCCTTGACCTAGTTGTCCCCTATATAATGAATAGTGCCCCTTCCATGAAAGGGGACCTATCCTAGATCTCTTCCCAGGACCCCATTTCCCTAGACTCTCCCCCAAGTGGTGCAGCCACCACTAGACTTCCCCATGGCTCAGCCGCCACTATACTCCGGTCGGGTGGCTCAGCCGCCACCCGCCGCCGTCAGCCACCACCAGCACCAAGATGGTTCTCTCCAGCTATGGAGGACCATCTCAGATCTTCTAGCTGATCTAACTTGATCGTCGGAGCCCGCTCCCGGGGCACAGTCCCTGGGGCGGCTCTAACGCGTCTCTCTGATTGTGATGGCAGATCTCCGCCGTAGCAGAAGACCAGAAGCGCCGCCGGAGGTCCATGTTCCATCATTTGGCGCCATCCCGGATTCGAGCAAGTAGCAAAAGCCTCAGTTGGCCTCAAGCTCGTTCTTGTCTAGATCTGATCAGATTTGTTGTTCTTCACCTCAGGTTCTTCTCGGATCTGTTCATTTCTAGCACCACTTGGTTCAGATCCTTTTGGATTTGGCTAAGATCTGTCCAGATCCGTTTGGATCTTGCCAAGATCTTCTCAGATCTGTTTAAACATCGTTTAGATCTCAAGAACTACTTCATTTTCAGTTAAGATCTTTAGATTTGCTTTTGTTTTTATGTTCAGATCTCATGATCTGTTCAGTTTTTAGCTCATATGAGCATTCACAAAGTTTGCATAGACACTTTAGATCTGCTCTCGTTTTTAGCTTAGATCTCCAGATCTACATGTTTTTGTTCACTTATTCACCTCTCAAGTTTGCAAAACATCAAGTCAGACCCGTTTTTACTTGTATTTTCGGAGAGAGAAGAGGTTCTCTTGACCATTTCTCCATCTTTGTTCATACCTTGGTGTTTATCCAAGCAACTTGAGAGGAGAAGAGAATTTTCGTGATTTTTTACCTTATTTTCAGTTTATGTTACACAAAATCACCTTCAGTTTGTGATTTTCTTTGCAAGACTCCTTTGATGTTGTTTACTTAGTGTTTTCTCTAAAAGCTTAGAGATAGAAACACAAAATTTCTTCCAGGTCTGTTCTTGCTCATATCTTCAGAAGAAAATGAAGTTTCATGGACAAAACTCCACATCAGATCCGTTTTTTATTCATGATATGGGGTTTTCTCAGCAAATTTGGAAGAAAGGAGGTTTTTTAGGAAGTTTTACTCCATTTTTTGTTTATATTATAAAAAAAAGAAATAAAAACCCTTCCCAGGTTGTATATTTCCATGTACGTTCTTACCTACTATAGCAATTATTTGTATACACAGCTACATGGTTTGTACGTTTCACAAAACCTTCAAAAAAAATAATAAGAAGGGAGGAGAAGCTTAGATTTTTCAGAAAATCCCATTTAATTTATGATTTTCAAAGCTTACTAAGTGATTTATGGGTGTAAATGTGTTTAAGTTGTAAACACAACAGTGAAACTTGTGTATTTCCAACTTTTACCTTAAAAATTTACTCTATCATCTCCAAATTTTATACCAGTAAAAAAAAACAAAAAAGGAATAGGTTGCGGTTACAACATGTCTCTTTTCAATAAAAAAAGAGAGGGGGTAAAGATGCATAGTGCACCAAACTAATGACAAGACAAATGACAGAGCTGTCTACAGAAGTCAGAAACAAAGGACTCCCATCTGATCCAATCCCTTATGCACAGAAAAAAAACAAAAGAGGGTACAGGTGTGCGAAGTGTACATCATAAACCAAAAGACAAAAACATTTTCGGATGGGACCCATCTGGTCTAATTCTCGATATATACAAAAGTCAAAAGCAAAATCGGGCCCCACTTGGTTTTCTCTCTTTCCAAGGGAGTAATGGACCCTTCGTTTCCCGATGAATCGCCAGCAACAGCAGCCCGAGCGTCACCATCATTAACTCACAACCGTTTGCTACCCCAGCATCGGTCGCAACCCGTGCCTATCCGTTGCCACCTCTAGCTGTCAGGCTCCCAATCGATGACGAATCCAGCCGGAGCTCACCAAAACCTGCAACGAGTGACCCAGCTAACCAGACCACCGGAACTCATAGCCGGTCGCCCATCCCCTAGCCCCGTTTTCTCGATCTGCTGCCAGTCGCTATAACCAAAGCATCACCGCTCCTCCAGCGGGGAACCACTAAAACCATCACTGTCGCGCTACAGCCTGTCGACCTAGCTAATCTGCGTCGCCGATAAAGTCGCCGAGCCCGCTAGGGACTACAGCCATCGTCTTCCGACGAGCAGGACTCAAGCGCCACTGATCTCCAACCGTTGTTTTATCACCGCTATCGATCGCCGGCCCTCCATATCATTTATTCAACGCCAGCATCAGGAACCAAAAGAGCGGCACAGGCGCTGCTGAAAAAATCGTAACTCTGATTTACCCTCTAGCGTCGACCACAGGCGACCCACAAGGACCATTCGAAATTTGCAGCAGGATGCCATCTTTCATCCGCTGGTTTGACGTCAGGCACCAATTGACGGTTCTCGATCTTTCCCCCTAATCTGAACAAGAAATAACACCAGGTCAAAGATATACCCTCCATAATACCTGGATGCAGCCCACACAAAAAGAAGAAAACTCGGGCTTATTACTTTAAAATGGGTTGCATAACTTAAGTTGGGCTTCCTACTACATTGGCTTTCATATTGGATTAGCTCAACTAATTAATGGGCTAATTCTTTAAGATAAGGATCAACAATATAAATTCTGTGTGTTGCAATCCCACTGAACAAAATTCATTTTCAAACTATGCGTTGCAACTCAAACCACTCATCATTTTCAAAAAAAAAAAGAAAAAAAAAGAAAGAGGGAGAGGGAGAAGAGTAGTACATTACTACTACTACTAGTGACGCATTTCGAAATAACAATCAGCAACTGCGCTGCGCGGCTATCAGCAGCCGTGTTGACCAATCCCGGGAAATCTCGCTAATCAGCTCTCACCACTCATGTTGACCGGCACTCGCTAGTCTCGCTGCGTAGCCCTCAGCAGTTGCGCAGACTGACTCTCAGTAGCGATGTGGCCTAGCTCAGCAGCTACAAGGCCTAGCCAT